GTCTCATTCCTACCCAAATATCCCTTGTGTTACCAGTATATGTCTTCAAGAATCAACATCTTTTACACAAATTATTCTGGTATATCTCTCTTTTACCTGTATGATACTTTTTCTATCTTTCATAAAATATTCATATTCAGATCGGTATATCCCATTTTCTACAATTATATCTTTGAAGATTTTTCTCCTATTTTTTCATTCCTGCACAAAGCATTTTGAAACTCACCTAATTGCTAATTCTTTGTGATCTCAAATATTGTGTTAGCTTTCTTATCATTATAGAATACTTTAATCATAACCTAGGGTAAGATCAACTCTTATTCAAACTCTTGATTAATTCTTTCTATCCGTATATCTTTTCTCTATTGGCATCATTTTTTTACCTTTTGTTAGAGCATTTAATAATGCATATAGGTGTTACTTTCTTTAAAGCACCAACAACACACAAGCCTGCCAGAAAAGAACTATTTCATTACCTTAAACAATGAAAATCTTCAGAGAAATCAAGATGATGTTCTCAATAGAAGACATATGAGTCTAACAGATACTTTTCCAAAACCAAATATAAATTGAACTCATTTATGAAGAGGAAGAGGCATGCGAAATTAATTGAGCTAGCTACCTACATTCATTCTCTAACTACTTTCTATTAGTACATTCGATATTCTGAGTGCTTTGTTAATTGTATATCCACTCTAAAAGAGAGAGTTATTATAATTGTGATTCATTATTAAATCCTCTATATTCTTTTCTTATTGTTCATATCAGATAGAATTATTTAAGTTTAGGGAGTTTAAGGAGATTATAGAGTACCTTTGTAAGAGTTATAGATTTGAGAAAGAGTTTGACTTGTACTATGGCAACTAAGAGCCCGATTTAATCTTAGTAAGAGATAGTGAAAAATCTCGAGTGTATCGTAGGACAGGACATAAACTCAAATGACTAAGAGCTGAACTAGAATAAAAACTTAGTGTAAAGCTTCTCCTTCGTTCACTCAACCTTATTTGGTGATATTGTTCCTAACTTATATTTAATTCTTGTATTATTTATTTTTAATTTTATTTAGCCCAATTCACCCCTCTTGGGTGGACTTTACAACTAATACGTACCACATGCTGTGCATCGAGTGATAAATTAATTTACAAAATGTATATAAAATAATATTAGTTAATTAGATAATATACATATGTATATATATATATATATATATATATATTAGTATTCCATGTATATATAGATAGATAATTAGATATATAAATGGAAGAATGCTATAAATAACTAATTGCATTTAAAAAAGGAATTATGGAAACAGGAAGTTATTAGATCATGGGTCATGAAATTACAAGAATGAATGAATAAAAATAAACTATATATAAACAGAATCCTACATGATGACTTCATGCATAAGTTTAAAAAAATGAACGATGATTAGATATTGATATGCTAAACAATGGGAATGACCATTTGGAATTCTCTGTAATTACTTGTAATAATGTTAGAAGACAAAAAATAACACTTCAAAACTCATGAGAGTTAAACCAAAACAATATGCAAGAGAATATGCGCCTAAAAATTAACTTAAAGTCATATCTGAATTTACCTTTGTCACTTGAGCCAACTCTATTATGCAATATGAAGTGTTGTTGTCAGAGGCGAAGGCAAGATTTAAAATAAAGGGGCCGAGATTAAAAAACATATATACTATAAAGTTTTCATAAATTTTAGGGAAGCCGGAAATATATAACACCTATATAATATAAAGAAAATTTTTAAAAATTGGGGGGGGGCATGGCCCTTGCTGATCCCCTTTCCCTCCACCACTGGTTGTTGTTGTCTTGTAATCTAAGGTAATAGTATCTCACTTTCACACACACATTTCATGATTCTAATTTTGAAGATAATCAAATAATATTATTGAGATAAATCAAATATAAAGACCAACCTTCATTAATTTTGAAAGTAAAGAACTTGAATCACATACTCTTATTTGTTGTCTTTTTGCCATTGAATATCTATTGAAAAACATTATAAATTATACATTAGCATTAAAAGATAGAGAAATGAGATTTGGCTAAAGCAGCTTCTAATTGGGAATTTTTAACAAGTTCTTGGAATTAACAATAATAGTGACAACACAAGATAGGAAACTCAAACTTGAATGTTCAAATGATAACATGAAAACCTCATAGAGCATGAGATTTGGCTAAAGCAACTTCTAATTGGGAATTTTTAACAAGTTCTTGGAATTAACAATAATAATGACAACACAAGATAGGAAACTCAAACTTGAATGTTCAAATGATAACATGAAAACCTCATAGAGCAAACACATGAGGTGTCCAAGTTGTGGATGAAACCATCTTAAAGCATCATAAGCATGTCTCAAATCGACCTGGATATATAGCATTTATAGGATAAAAGACTTAACTGGCTTGCATTCTTTCAAAGAAGAACAAAAAGAAGAAGAAGGAAGAAGAAGAAGAAGAAGAAGAAACTAAGTCCACAATATTTGAGAGGTTTGAGCATATGCATTAATTTCTAATTATAGTTGAAACCTAGATATTCAAGATAACATAATTCTTAATAATGAATTAGGTTCCTCCTAACATGTTAGCAATTGGAAGTGACCCATTAACCAAATATCACCTCTTCTTCTATGATTTGTTCTTTGCTTTTCTCCTTTTGGATTCTCAACAAAGATAGACTTCCTTCTCAAATATGCATGGACATCTTGAAAAGTAGACAAATACTTGCAACTGCCTATCATCTTTATTCGTGGAGTTGCGTGTTCAGAGGTATAAATGACAGTTATTTACTTTATTCCTTAGTAATGAGAAGTTACAAAGGCACAAATTAGACCAACTTCACTACATTTCATGAATAATTGAGAAGTGGGGAGGAGGTTGTTGTGCTTGAAATTCCTATGTGGTGTTGTGTGTGTGGTTTTCACATTTCACAATTAAATTATAATTAAGAATTAAAATTGATTTCACAAACTGGATTAAGGTGTGGGGGAGGTTATTATGCTTGAAAATTTTTAAGATTTTTAAAATTGAAAATTAAAATTGTGAATTAGTTGAGAAGTTATGTTAATAAATAAGATCATAAAAAGGGTAAGAATATTTAGGGATAAGGAAATTTTTTACTTTTTAATTGTCCAAGGTATATCCACAGCTAGCAGCCGTGAAACTAATCACCTGAGGTATATGAGCACCATTTAAGGAGTTGTCTTCTCTCAAGTAATATTTTTCAATACACATCTCTAAGAATCGAACTCTGGAATGATGCTTAATGGCTCAGACTACTACAATCTATGCCACATCCACTTGTGAATAAAAGTTGATCTTGGATTCTTGGTAACTTCCATATTATGAATTTTAAAACTAAATCAATATACATAAATTATAAATAACCTATTTAAATTACAATTAAGAATTAAAATTAATTACACAAATAGGATTTGGAGTGATGAGGAAGTTATGATACTTGATATTTTTAATATTTTTAAAATTAAAATTTAAAATTATAAATTAGTTGAGAAGTTATGATCGAAAGCTAAAAATATGGGAGACAATATTTTAGAATCAGGAAAGCATTATGTTGATATTTTACCAAAAAAAAAAAGATCATGTTGATATTATTTTTTTAAAAAATATTTTTAAAAATTAATAGTAACATGAATCTTATTTAAAAAAATGTTTAGTGTCTGGTTGTTATATATATACACACGCACACATGTGTAGATGTACAGGTCCATCCGAGTTCTCTGATCCATGGCATTGAAGTTCCAGTTTATCGGCGTTGGAATCACACGCCTGTTCGCTTGCAGACGCTATGTTGAGTCATTTCGTAGCAGCGTTGCTTTCACTCAGCATGCGTGATGTAATTGTGGATGACTGCTATTGGTCTCCATTTTTTGCGTAACCAGTGGGTCTTTCTATCTCTGGGTTTGTGGTGCTGAACCTTAATTTTTTTTTTTTTTTCCAATTTCTCGGATTCCCACCCCCACCCCCCCCAAAATTATTCCTTCAAAGATAGAGTTATCGGAGCATTCTAATCATTGTTGAGAAGTTGCTTGCTGTGGTTGTGTCCTTTGCACGGCTAACGGTGTAACCCATTGCCTCTCAAGAATGGCTTGATTATTTCTTATGTCAATGCTATTTATTCGCAACCACCTGAAACGTTGTTCTGTTTTTCTTGCGTTCTTTCAGTAGTTTGTTTTCTATAGATATGGCATTCGCTTTTGCCAATTCTTTGAGCAATCATCGCCCAATGGACGATTTGGGGGAGAAACTCTTTAAGGTTGATCCCATGTACCTTTTGATGGAGGCAAATACCTGTAAGGAGTACAAGTCTAAAGAAAAAATTTATCCCAAAAGACTTGCTCATTAGGAAAAAGAGCCTCTCACATTTATAAATCTCACACCATTTTTGAGACTCTTTGATATGAAACTCATAGCAATGTCACTTCATTGAGAGTCGACGTCCACAACTAGCATGTTAGGTAGGAAAGCTTTTTAAATTTCTAAACCCCACACTATTTATAAAGCTCCGCAAGACACTGACTCGTGGTAAGCCACCCTGTCGAAAGCTCGGTCTTTGATGGCTCCTTTTGACTGCACTTCACTCGGCTTTTTGCCTTTCAAAATTCTCCATGGGCTTCTGTGACACCAGCTTCTCAACGAAAGTACCAATTTGACGAGCACATATTTAAAGTGAGAACCTATCCCAAATGCCTAGACTGTTAAGTGAGAAAGCCCTCACATTTATAAACTTCACATTAATTATGAAACTCCCTGATATAGAACTCGTGACAATGCCATCAGATTCCACTGCGGTTGGCCGAAGAGCACTTCAGCCCTGGAAATTGTCGTTTTTGACGTACAAGCCAATCTTTATTTTCTTCTTCCTTATGATTTGTGAAGAATATTATGAACTATTTCTCATTGGTTTCTTTTTTACGCTTTTGATATTTTGTTCTCCTGGTGTGCTCCCATTTTTTCATATGATGTCTGTATGTTAGTTTCTGTTACAGTCCAATCTTTGATCGACCTTTTTTCGGAGGAAAATGGATGGAGGGAGGGCATACTTCGTCATGGGGTTCACGGTTCAGGTCGGTGGAAGGGGGATCCGCAAGAGCTACTGTATTGTCTTTGGCCACTCAACCTTCGTTCAGGAACATCATATTCCTTCTCTGCAGTTTTGTTTTTCATTTCATTGATGTCTGCTCGCTTATGACCGTTGGGCCCTATGTCTGGGTTGCTATAGGTCAGTCCAATTCTTCTTTTCTTTATTTAAACGTGCATTTGTTCGTTGATCCTTTTGATTCATTGCCTTATTGTTGAGGGGTTTTTGTAACATGTAGATGTCTTTGGGATGGTCGGACGAATTCAAAAGCCAAAGGTCTTGTAGTTAGATAAGACGGAGAGCATTGAACTCTGCTTTTTCATTCAGGACATGAAGTAATCCCATTATTTTTGCGTTTTTGTTTTGTATCTTTCTCAACTTCAGACTTAGCTTTTTCACTATTATCCTGACTATTGGTTCAGATGAATGATGTCACATTTTGGTTTGATTTGGTTTGCTGTAGGGGAAATCACCTGCTGTGCATTCTGAGGAGTGAATGTGCTGACAAGGCTTGGGATGAATATGTTAAGTTGAATGTTGAAGGCCCTATTGCCTTGCGCATTCGGTATGTGTGGTTGTATGTTGGCGAAGGTTGGTAACAGTGTGAACAGCTAATTTACTAATTTTAAAGTTATACCTCCATATTCAATAGGGCTTATCTTTCATATTATGGTTTTCTTATCCGTTGGCCATCCTTAATGGAAAGGAGTTTTTATATCTATTGATGTCCTTGGATGACTTCAAAGGGAGTCGGTGTTTATTTTGTTTCTGCATAAATTAAATTAGGTGAGAGTGTTTTGTTCAATTAGGGACTTCCTTTTCCTTTGCCCTCAAACATTGTTCGCTGTGAGTAAGTCATATGTTGGAATCACTGAATCACACATTTATGGTGAAAGGATAATTTTTAACTATTGTATTGACGTGTTTATAATTTCTCTCATGCAAGAAAGTATAGAGTCGCCCATTTATATTCTTGTAATGCTAATTGTATTGAGGTCGATCAAGAGCTAGTCGCGTGCTACTTGTGTATTCTGAAATCCTACAACGCAGGTCACTGCACAGCACAGGACACCGACATGTTTGAAGAAATGTCCCACTCAAAGGGGCATTAGGGTGTATTTGGTTCTTGTTTTCATTTTTTATTTTTAAAAACTGTTTTGTAATACATTTTTTAAAATTATTTTAAAAAATAAAATAAAAATTCATTTGGTTATGTCAATTAAAAAATAATTTTAAAATTAAAAAGTGGACTGATAATAATGGTTATAGGTAAATTAATTATGGTGATTAATAATAAAAATTGATTAAGATAACTATACTTTTTAATAATCAAATATAGTATATTTTAAAAATAAAACAAAAACAAGTTAAAGTTATTTATTTTTTTCAGTTAATTTTTTTCAAAACTATTTCTTTTTTTTAAATGATTTTTAAAAACAAGAAACAAACAGGCCCTTGATCTTTCACCTATTTGCAAGCAATCAAGTGTGTTGCAGGCCATTAGTTCTTGCATGTTTTGCCCATGGCCCTTTTTTTTGGTCTTTTATCCCTGGATGCATTGGGCTTGAAGTAGTTTTGTACTCTTACAAGCCCAACAACGACAGACTTGTGAGTTGTGACTTTTTTTCGGTTTCACTCTTTCACCAATGTAGATTGGGCTCTACAATAGACTTTTACATGTCAAGGTCATCATGTAATGGTCCTTTTTCATATACACCAACGGACGGTTCTGAAAAATCCGATCCGTTATCTAAACGTTCTGTCAAGCGTTTGATTATTGACTAAATATCACTAAATTCCGTCTTCAGTTTTTGGTTCATAACCTGTTCGTTGTGCCTTGTGGATATCAATCTCATCGTCTTTAATATATCAATCATGTAGTAGTCTTGCACGCTTAGCCGTTTACCATTAAAAAAAAAGGAAAACTTGAAAAAATTTGTAGCTATGTTGAGGGTTTTCTTGGTGAAGCTGGTAAAGCTATTTTCACAAGCCATGACTACAGGTAAACTGCACGATTGCAACCCGCCGCAGTTGAGAAAAGAGAAAGCATAATGATATTGTAATCGGAGAATTTCAATAATGACCCATTAACCATAGTTATTTAAATTTTTTTTGGCCAAATAATTATTTAAATTTAAAACACCTAAATGTTGGAAATTATATTACAGTGGAAGATACTAATTTGATATTATATTTTTAAATGATGTGACAAAATTACCTTTTATTTAAATTAATATAATAATTTTCCTATTTTATTTGTTAATTTACTTAAAAAATATTGTCAATTGTCCTACTTAATTTATTTTTATTTTAGGCATTTAAATCATCTTAAGACAGCTTTTATTCATTGCCAGAGTTTCATTTGATTTTATTTTAGAAAAATGAATAAGTTAAGTAGGGCAATTAATAATATTTTGTAAGTAAATAAATAAATGAAATAGGATAATTAACAAGTGAAGTAGAATAGTTATGATATTGATTTAAATGAAGGACAATTTTATTTTTTAAAAAATTTAATATTAAATCAGTACTCCTAAACTATTGTGAAATTTTAAAAATTTAAAATTTTTAAATTTAAATAAGCGTAGTCAAAAAAGTTTTATTAAAATTATTGAAATAAGTTATTAATGCGTGCAGAAGAAACTTTCTCCGAAGTCTACTTTCTTCTTAGCTCCTAGCATATGGCTTTTCATTTATCGCTCATGTTAGAATTTTGAATTTAATTTCCGTCCATAATGAGTCATAACACTAATTATAATGAATTGACCAAAATTTAAAATTAATGTTTGATTAATAGTCAGAAAGAAAATGATCTTCCATCATAATATTGATTATTCTAATCAACATAATTTTTTTATAATGAGGTGGGTTAATATCAATTGAATCTTCCTTTTATATGGAGTCTTCCCTTTATTATAAATAGTGATCGTGGCTGAAGTAATATCAGTGTACACATTAAATTCCACATTTTCCCTTCAATTCCCAACAAAGTGCAAAATGATCAAAATATCCCTAATATGTATAAATTCTCTTTAGGGCTCAAAACTCTAATTTAATACAAAGAATGCACATTCTAGGGTTCCTATCATGAAATGTGGTCCTAAATGCTTAAGAAAAGTGTGTAACAAATATGACTTATCACAAGCTCTGCTAGGGCATCAAATTCTAACAGTTGGAGAGTTTGCTCACACCAGTGACTTGCCAAGTAAATTTCATACTACCTTGTACTATATTTCTATCCTAATTTCTTTGGATTTGGTTAGTAGAGAAATTGAATTAGGGTATTCTTGAGGGTTAAAATTTGAGGAAAAGTCTTAAAAAGAGCTCTTTAATATAAAACTAAAGTTTTATAACTAGTATGAAATGTAGTGATTGAGCCTAAGAGATATAGGCTCAAATAGGCCTAAATGATTAGGTTAAAAAGGGTGAAAATGCTAAGTAGTGTGGCTTAGTCAAGTTGCATTTTACATTGAGCTTGGAAAATGACTAAAGACACTTCATTGTCTAGATTAAGTGCTTAGGGGATTGCATGTGGAAATATACGCTCTCCAAGTGAGATAGTACAAATGGTAACCCTTAGTAATAAGGGTAAAAAGTAACTGGAGTAATCGTTTTATTTATTACCTTATAAAATGATTTACAATTTTTTTATATTAACTACATGGATCTTTCTTGTTTGTTGATCTTGTTAAATTTCTTAATTTCTAATCTTGTTTGTGCTGTAGGAACCTTTTTTAGGTACATGTTAAAACACATGAGAATTTTCAAAGCCTTACTATTCTCTATTGTTGGGGCAGCATGTCACTAGGTGGAATGATAAACCTGCCTTAGTTCTTGATGAGCTTTAGCTTTAAAGAGAGCTCTTATTCTATTTCTAATTTTGGTTTCTCTATAGGTTGTCCTTCTAAACCCGCATCCTAACATGAGAGTCTACCTTTAATTGTTTCCTTGTGCCAGATGGGGATGAGTATTTCACAAAGTAATCAAACTTTCCTAAGGGCTCTCCCAGGTGGTCCCATACTACCTTAGCTTTTTCTGTTCTCTTTATAAATTATCCCTCTGGACCCACATCCCAACCTAAGGATCTACCTCTAAATGATTCCCCTACACCAGGTGGGGTTGAGTATTTCACAAAATGAAAAGCCTTTCCTAAGGGCTCCCTTAGGTGGTCCCATACTACCTTGGCTTTTTTTGATCTCTTTTCCTTTTGCTTACCTCTTATCTAGATGTTCTAAGGATGTCTTTTTCCTTGCTTTGGTTCTCTATGTCTCCTAGTGTATTTCCTAACCCTTTGATTGTTAGGATCTATTTCCACCATGTTAACAGTAGAAAATGGAAAAAATAGGTCTTTATCCACTATCATGAATTCCTCCTTTCCTGAAAATTTTAATACACCCTTATTGATTCGGTCCTGTACTATGTTCTTGAAGGCCCAATAGATGTTAGTACTGTGGCTTCATAAATGATGGTATTTGCAGTATTCTTTGCCCTTACATTCCTTTTAAGATGGAATCTTACAGTTTGCAAGTAGTGAGATAAATTTTTCTTTCAATAAGAAGTCAAAGATTTCCTCAGTCTTTGAGGTGTCGAAGGTGTATTGTATTGTGTTAGGTCTTTTTAGGGCTTCAACAATGGCCTTTCTTATTAAAGTCGTACAAGTATAATCTCTTACATTTTTTAGCTCTGCTACAGACGTATCCAACTCACTAAAATGTCCTTATGGTCATACGTTATGGTGATCTTATTCTTGCAGTAACTTTTTGTACCCACAAATTTTGGTAACAAGTTCATAGAAATCTCTTAACTCCATTCCCTAAAAAAATTTCCATAATTCTATATCGAGCCTTGACTATGCCAATTTGAGAAACTTGGCCTTCAGAAGGGGTACATTGCACCACCTCTTAACCTCTTAAATATTGCAAGGTATTGATCTGCTGTCTCACCCTAAGGTTGAGCTAGTTTGCAAAGTTTTGCAAAGCTAATCTTAAGCTTTGCTTTGTAGAATTGTATATGGAACTTTTACTTGATTGCTAGCCAAGTAAGAAAAGAGTTGCATGCCAAGGTTGTGTACTAAATAAATGACCTATAAGGGAGTTTAGGAATAGCCTTAACTTTAGATTGCTAAAGTTATCATAATTGGAGATTTCACCATATTGAATAGTGAATCTGCCGACATGCTCCAATGTCAATTGTGTACCATCTCCAAAAAATAAAGTAAAGCTTAGGATTCTATAGCCCTTGAGATAAGGATTTTCTTGGTCTATATACTCAAGATATAGTTTTGCAAATGTAGGCCGACCAATTGATCTTAGCTCAGGCCCATATATGTCTTAAATTATGTCCCTTAAAGCTTCTACTATCACTACCTGGTTTCACTATTTATTACATCTTTTAGGGATTGCACCTATGCCCCTTAGGCCACCTGTATTTAGTTTCTGTAAATAGTATAAAGGATTATTCACGGGGTTGCTATTAGCAAAAACATAAGGAATGGTGTAATCCCTTACAGGTGTGCGGCCTCGAAGGCCTACATGTAGACCATTGGATATAGTTAATAGATTAATATGTTTACTACTTGCTTTTGAATTAGGGCTTATACTGCTGCTATTCATGATCATTGGCATTACATGCTCACGATGTACACCTGTTTCAACATTAGACATCAATAGTTCTAACTCTCTTGGCAAAGAATTTCCTTCTCATTCATGAGAACCATCACTTGTCTCATCAATCTTTTTTGTCTTTTTGTATCCTTGGCATCTTTATCACACAAACTCCTATCAGGTGTGCCACAAATTGTTCTTCACAAAAACAATAAATACTAGACGTACTAGAGATGCTGAGTTTCGAAAGACAATAAAAGATTTCCAAACTTCCTTACCACAGTTTACCCAGATGTGGAGATGCAAAGAGATTAGAATAAATGAGTGTCTTATTAATAAGTATGCAAATAATAGAATTGTAAAGATTACAAAATTTGAAAATAATCTTAAAAACTATTTAAGAATACAGGGTAAATTTGGAAGTTAAAAATATTAAAAGTGCTAGTAGATATTGTTGATTGATTGTTCATGTCCCTCCTGAGACCCTCTGTTCCTATTATAAGCATGTAATCGAGACCGTTACTCTCATGAGATCCAAACAAATATCAGAGATCACTGAGCATGGCCTGTGAGATTTGTGGCATGTCACCTCATATCTACTCAACAGTCTCACTTGTCTAGTCATCCTGAGTCTTGAAGGCTACTCCAGGCTTGTGTGTGGCACGCTTTTCTCCTAGAAAAGAACCAAGCTATGCTTCTTAGGCCTATAGTTTCTTTTACTATAGTTCCTTTCATTGGGCTTGTGTTTCAACTTTAGCCCAAACAATTTGTTTCAAAATTACATCAATGGATTCCAATATTTGACCAATATGTAATAGCTATCAATATCATGAAGCTTTGTCAAAGTTAATGTACTTGAACCATGAAATTTGTGCTTTTTTTTTTGTTTTGGGATTATTTTCTAATTGGAGTACTTTTTTATTTCTTCTATCTCCCTATTTTTTTGCTATTAACATGGTTTGAGGAATAAAAAAAATATTTTCTCCGTTAAAATTTGGAATGCAAATTACAAATTCATCATAACAAAGTTATAAAATTAAAAGATTGAGTTGCAAATTTTTTAAGTTTGACACTTGAGACCTAACTTAAATTAATTGACCATTTTGAGACTTCTTTGTCATTCTCCCTTAGCTTATTGCTATATGTTAATACTAATTTTGTGAGATTTAATTTTAGTTTGCTTTTGTATGAGGATATGCATGGGTGGAATTAACTATATGGATTTATGGCTTTGAGCTATTGATGCAAATGATGATTTTATAATTTGATTTCACTTTGTTATAGATTTTGCTTGAAGTAATTTCCGTTTCATCTACTTTCTTATTCAAGTGAGAAGAAAAAGTGAAAGGGTAATCTTCTTTCCTGTACATTATTATTATTATTATTTTGGAGTACAAAGGAAAATTTTTTAGGTGGTATAAGGGGAGTAATTTATACAGGATACTTCTATTATTATTGTATTACTTAAAACAATGTCGAGAATTACAAGTGGCACGTTCTTTGTTTTGTTTTGTTTTTTAGGCCAAGGGGAGGGGCATAATTACATGAGCAAGTATGATTTTGAAATTTAGTTGTATGGAAGGCTATCATTGTTAAATTTAAAATAACTTCAAACATCAATCTAATACAATAATAGCATATTTTAATTTCTTTTCAAATAATTTGTTATGAGTTATTAGTTTCCATTGTTGTTTTAACAATATATTATAGTACCTGAAATTAGTCACATAATAAAGTATATTTAAATCATATTGTTAAGATGGGGTTTCAGAACCTGCTTGCTTGCCTATTTTTAGCTTATTATGAATTGTTATGGTTGACTAAACCATTTGCTTCCAAGCTAAGTGAAAACGGACATGAGTATTTCCATTGTAGCAAACATTGCAAACCAAGGAATTAAGTTACTCATACAGAAATGAGTTTCAGAAACCCACATAATATTCTTGAATCTAATCTGTGAGTTAATTTTTACTCCTCAGTAGCATCTTATGGGAATCTCATGAGAATCAAGTGAATCACTCATTAATTGAACTTGGTAAGACATATGAAGTTTGTTTGGGTGTAAGATAAAGTAAATTCTAACATTCAAATTTATAATTTATACTTTAGTGATGTTAAAATTTTTCTTAAGATGTAAAATAAAAATAAAATAACCTTACGAATAATAATGAGAAAATGAGCATATCTTGGCATTTGAATTATCAGTAACAAATTGAGATTTTAATTAGTTACTATCATGTTTATTTTTTATTGAATAAATCACAAATACTACTGTTAATGTTTTTGCATATGTTGATGTGTTATAATTATATCATACAGATTTTATGAAGTTCATGTTTTCTTTTATTTATAATATAAAACAATTCTAAAAATTTAAAATAATACTTTCAACCTATTTAATGTAAGAAAGCGCTCTCGTACACCCTAGTGAGCTAGTTTCAAAAGCAAGTTGTTGATAGTAGGTTTTTTCCCCCTTTTTGGCAAATTGTTATGAGGGGTTTTTGCTGTATAATGGTTTTTTTTTTTTTTTGAATGGAAAACTGAGATGTATTGATAATCAAAATAAGAAAAGCCTGAACAACCAAACTATAAAATGAGAGCCAAGAAATCATTTATCATCTACCTTTTTTAATTAATCAAGATAATAGATGATTAAAGATGCAAGAAAAGCTCTATCTAAAATGAGTTTTTCTAACTATTCTATGAGCAATATTAATAATATCCCTAAACACAAAATTAATGTTAACAAATCAATTCAGGTTTTAAATATTAATAGCATGAAAAATGATATCATGAAAAGGATGATCATCATTGCAATATTTAGTGATTAGATTTAAGGCTTCAACACAGAGTAAACTTCAATTTGCTTATTTTGCAGCAAAATCCCACAATCCTATCGTCTTTCACCTGTCACATTTCCACCACAAGCAGCCATACTGTTAGTATGCACGCATCCATCAACATCCATCCTAACAAATCCTCTATCTAGAAGCTGCCGTTTTTCAATCGATTTGTAGGGTTTTTTATGCATGTCAATTTTCCTAATCCAATTAAGATCAGTTTGAACTTTCATGAAGCATTTTCTCATATCCACCTTCGGTCTCGGTTCCTCTTCTCCAAATAAGTTTGTACATCTATTTGCCGCCGTTGAGCTCAGATGCCTCACCCCTCGTCATGGTCTCTGTAACTCGAGCTTCTTGCCCTCTTCCTTCATTTTGTTTCCTTGCTGGGTTTTCTCATCGAATCGATGAAGCTCGGCCACCACCTTGCTTATGCAAGCTCAAGTTTTCCTCTGCTTCATCGCTTCTGTTTGGATCTTGAGCTCAGTCTCCTCTCCTCTCAACGCCAGATCGTGAGCGCCGTCGCCTCTAATCTGCATCTTTCCTCTAACCTTTTACAAAGCCGCTTCATTTATGTCCTCTCAATGCCTCTCCTCTTCTTCATTTCCTTTCATTGCTACTCACTTGGCCGTAAATAGCTTGGATTAATGAAAAGCAGCAGCTGAAACATCAAAAGCTTATAAAAGGTATGTTTATCCCGAACCTTAGTGATCTTATTTTTTCTTTTTCTTCTATTCTTTATCTCTTTCATTTTGATCACGGTATACATTACAAGTAAGTTCATTTAATAATAACTGAGTACAGCTGTGTATGTAACGTCTCCTTAAATTAGTAAGAAGACCAAGTTCTGCAATTATGAGATATTATTGTTAAGCTATTGGTTCTTTCTATTCGTTGGGCGTGAAATGAAAACTTTCTTTTGAGAAGATAACTCAAGTCAGGTTAGCTTCGGTTTGATTTCGCGCTGTTGAGTTTTTCAATTTCTGATACTTTGAATCTATCATATATTATTCATCGTTTTATATATGCTCTTATACTTAATTTAACTCTTTTATTTCTTTTAATAAATTTAGTTGAGTAATTCATTAGTTTAGTATGATTTGTATTGAGTATATATTATCATAATAATAGATTGACATTTTTTAAGTAGACTGCTACTTTAGAAGCTTGTGTCTTGTAGAAAGATATTGCCACCCATGCTTTATCCCTTCTATAACATCTCCTTGTGCAGCCATTGACTGACATTTGCCTTTTTAATCGTGCATAATTAGTATTTCTCCAAAGCGTAAATGTGTGAAATGGACATAGACTTGAAGTCTTTTGGATTATAAGATATCGTTAATTATTTTGTTGATCAATTCAATCCCATCGTCAAAATGTCAGAGTAGTCTGTGACTCTTGTTTAATTGTGCAATAATTAATGCTCATTTGCAAAAATAAAGAGACGTAAGAAGAAAGAGGACGACTTATATTGCATCTAATGTCAGCGTAAAGGAATTTCAATGAGATTTCCAATGCTTTTTGATTGTGCAATCTCACAGAGACTGGGGTATCATGTAAGCAGAATCCAGGTGCTACAGAAGCAATTAATGTGCTCATGAAGAAGAAAAGCCTTATGGGAATAGGGATTATGGTATGCCCTGCATTGAATACACTGAATTTGACAAGTTTAGAATTGCTAAGTTGAAGATGATATCACTTTTAATTGTTGATTTGTTTAAATGGCAAAGTATATCAAATCTATTTTCTTCTTCGGGTCCACGCTTGCAGAAGGTCTTGGCATGCCTGGGATTGTATCAATATTGTTCATGGGAATAGTAAGTACAAATTATATTCCACCTCTTATTTTAATATTTATGCGTTAAAATATTATAATCAAGATCTTGGTTCTCTCTTTTAGCTCATGAAGCACTACACATATTCAAATTTGCCCAGAGATTCTTAAAGATATGTCTCTTCATTTTTGGATTTAATATCAACTTTGGCAAGGACATTTGTCTAAGGAAGATTCTATCTGCTACATTTTATTCAAGCAGTTAAATTCTTTTGTCTAAAGGATGCATTTATGCGTTTATGCATTTACACCCAGGCATCAGTGCCAGCCCATTTCACTGGAATAACAAAATCATAAGCTGCTATAAAGCAGGTAAGGCCTACAGGAATTCAAGATTTACCCTGAATCATGAGCCCACAACCTAACCAAATTAAGGCTATCATTGAAGAATCTAACAAGGAACACTACCCTTGAGAAGCCAAGTATTTTTCCGTTTTTTCATTTGTCCCCTTACACTTCATATGTTTTCTTTTAACTCCTGGGAGAAATGCCACTTCATCATATATGCAAACAATACCATTATGTTTGTCTGAAAATGTACTAGTATCTGTTGCATTCTTAGTTGTCAATATAGCTATATCAGACTGCAAGTTTTCCAGGACATCTTTATCCTCAACATTTGTTTGCATATAGTATATAAAGCGATATCTCTTAACCTCACCATGGGTTAGGATTATGAAAAGAACAGTTTTAATGTTTGCTTATGATAAGGCAATATTACATAATACATATAAGAATTATTGTGGGGGTTATTTTGGTAAATTCGGATTTCTTTGTTATTAAGGAAAGGGAGTTTTAGTTACTTTTAATTAAGATGAAAAGGGAAGACAATAAAAATGGGCCACAAAGAAGAAAGAGGTTGTTACGGTAGTCATTAGGAAACATGCACACATAAATAGTAGATGGAGAAAGAAACAAACTGTTGCTTTGTTCTGTGTTATGATCTTCCTCTTCTTTAGATGGCATGCGTTAAAGTCAGTTTAGAAGCGGTGTTTTTATTTTCTAATGATTGCAAAAGTGATATACATTTTAATTGCATACTTTTGGAGTTGGGATAGAATTTTTCTGAGCTTGTATTTAACATATTGTGAAATAAATAAGTGTGAACTGGTTAGACACATACACACATATAGATGGGTCCTTTGTGAAATCAGATGCAGAAAGGCAAAGAGTTATGTAGTATCCTGAAACTGCAATTGAGAAATGATTATCTAAGATCAACGACATATCACATATATTATTGCATTTCAGAAGTGATTGCCTGCTTTAGTGGAAAGAAGAGGCTTAGTTATTTAAAAACTCATGGGCTCCATTGTTTTTATGGAGGTAGAAGGCCTTGGGTGTGATAATTCTCTTGTGATCATACTTTTCAATAAAAACATAACATCTGGACTAAAATTGAAAAATGCATTTTTGATTCCTTAAAAAAAAAAAAGTGCTGGGCATCACGTAATTCTGTTGCAAAAACCTAGTATATTGTAAGTGAGTTCAGTTTTGTCCTCTCTTATTTCTCTATTTGATTATGTTCTATAATTGTCACCTGTTTGTCCTTTGTTTGATTCTATTGTATTCACAAACATTGTAAAAATTTTAATCAGTTTTTCTATGAACTGCGGCAGCAAAGTATAGGATATAAATTAATAACTGAATTACGGAGCAAAAACTCTTTGAAGGTCATTTTCTCCATACTCTTGCACACAAATATTAGCGCTGAAAGTAATAAATTATGGTATACTTTGACAGAGTGCACTGTTTTGTTTTTGCCCCATCCATTAAAGAACAATGACTTTTGGCCAAGCAAAAAAATTAAAGAACAATAACTTGGAGCAATAAATTAAATGAAATGAAAATATGCAGATGTAGCTAAAAATTAAAGGTTATATTTTGTTCAAATATGGACCTTGGTAATTTATCCTGTTGCAGCATGTTCCCTCTTTAAAATAAAAAATCTCTACATTTCCCCTATGGAATTGCTTCTATGTGAATTTTTTAAATACCCTCTTTTCAGAAATAGACTAATGAAATATCATGTTAATATTGCTTTCCTATGAGGATTTAGTTAATGGTCTTCCCGTAGTGCATGTTCTCCACGTTCAATGATTCTTCTAGAAAGGAAGCATGTCTCCCTTACAAGGCTAGACAAACATGCACTTACCTTGGATCATTTATTTTTGACTTCCACTTGTATCTTACATGTTTAGTTTGGTATCATTTATTGTATAAAAATTTTTTATTTAAAGCTTCCTTGTTCACTCTAGCACAATTCCTCCTACTGTATGAGAAAAATCAAATCCCAGTAGAGGCGTCTAAGAATTTGAGAGCAACAATTAAATTCTGAAAGTCATTTGAGGGGTTGATGACCTCCTCCAACAATGTCAACTTGTATAAACTATATAAATGATGATTAATGGCTATCTATTAGTCGAATTTAATTTCTTTGGATTGAAAAACTCTTCCTTTCCTACATGGAATAGTTCATTGTTGGTGGATGTTGATCATAAACTGTTCCTTTCCTATCCAAGCACTTTGTTCATCTTCTAATCTTGTAAAACTTGTGAATGGATATGATGTGCATGTCATGGTATAGTATTGTGAATATCATATTTTGTTCGATCTTCTAGATATAAATTGAAAATAAATGAAAGATCATAATAAAATTATAAAAAAGGAAAGGAAATAGGTCTTTTATGAATTAAAAAATATAGCTTCAAAAAGGATATTTCTTTTTTATTGACCCCAAATTCCCTCAATCATATTTCTATCAAATTAAATGCATTAAATGTAAATTTGAAAATTAGAAATAATGGGTAAAAAATGTCAAATGAGAATTTAATTTGATGTGATTGATTCTATGGTTAAGAGGGAAAAATCCTAGGTTGATCTATAAAAGTGAGAGCAAGAAAAAGGAGAAAAAAAAAATTGGGAGGAGATGGCGCACGTTGGAAAGTCATGAAAAGTAAGTGAATTCTTGTTCTCGCTAAATGTAATAGCAATCTGCAGTTCTTGTTTTGGAGCTCGTATTCTTGTTTCCATTCAAGTTTCAAGGCTTGTGATTCACATATTAAATTCTTATGCCTTCTTTCTATACATGCTCTTAGTTTCCTGGTTTAAAAAAAAAAAAAACTTGTTATCAGTTTGATTTTCTTATTGATTTCAAAAATAATCTTCCTTATCTGCACACCCATACCCATTTACTAGTTTTTGTTTTTTTAAGTTTATTTGCGTGATTGGCCTTTGCTGTGTGTTTGTCCATGAGGCGTGTGATATTCACTTATTGGATTCGAAATGACTATGCTTTACCAACAAGCGCTCATTTAAGTGGTTAAGAATTTAGATAACTTAATTTAAGGTCTCATGTTTAAGTTTCAAAGTATACAGTCGTGCAGCTAAGCATACAAAATGTGTCTCGCTAATGGTATTAGTAAAACTCCCTCAAAGAGGGTCCCACCTACATATGAATTTATATTAGTTTTGATTGAATTGAGCGGGCAAAGAACTCATGATACTCAGACGGTCTAGGATATCAGGTGGGAAACCCAAAAAAAACAGAGAGAGATTATGCCGTGCCCACATTGTCATCCATCTACTTAATTTTGTTTTCGTTTCTGTTAGTTTATTAGTATCATTGTTTTCCTTTTCTTGTTAATTATTTGAACCTCAAGCGTTATCTTGCCTCTTGTACTTAAAAAAAGCAAAAAAAAAAAAAAACTTGTAAGTTTGTATCCAAAAAATAAAATCCTAGAATGTGGTCATGGGATAACTAGCATCCTTAGAATGGATAATCTAGGTTAAATATGTGGAGAATGATATTAAAGCATTAAAATATTAAATTAAACTAAAATAAGTATTAAAAGATTTGAAAATAAAAGATAAGGGAAAAAATGCTTTAGTATATTGGTTTGAAAGTTTATTACTTTCATTCCAGTAGTAACAATATAAACAATAATTTAGAAGTGAAATACATTAAGGTTTGGTTTGAATGGAAAAAAGTGAAAAAAAATATAGGGAAAAGAAAATTACGAAGAGAAATTTTTAAAAATAGTAATTTTTTTTATTATTTGTAAGATTTTTTTTTCTTTCTAGCTTTCTTTCTTTCTTATTTTTATCCCTATGCAAACAAAGAATTATTCTTAAGGGAAAACTTGTCAAGCATGTATGTTACCAGTTTTGATGATTTGCTACTCTTATACATTTATTTGCAGCCCTCAAACACAAATTTATGAGCAAGAAAATAATTTTCAAATAATAATATATTCAGTAGTATACCATGACCTCCGGTTTGTTTTAATTTAATTGCATATTCTCCATTTTATTTTTGAAACACATACGAGCCTTCCCTTATATAAATAGTTACAAAACACAAAAATCCCTTCTATTTTAAAATTTTATTTCTATCCATCAATCTATTAGTTGACAGTTAAATCATATACGTTGGACTAAAATACACCCTCTTTAACTATAAATGTTGTCTAAAAATCCATCAAATTACCCAAAAAATTAATGCATATATATATTTTAATTTTTATACATATTTTAATTTTTTAATTATGTAAATTTATTTATTTGGTAATTTCAAAAAAATTCAATACATAAATGGCAAAAAAATAATATTCAAACACACAGTTAATAAATTTAATGAAATAAGGATTTAATATAATAAATTACTCAGTATAATTTATGTTTTTTAAATATTCAAAAAATAAGTTATTTATTTAAATATTAACATACTTAATTATTTAATTTTTTTAAATAGAAAGGGAGCCAAGTTAATAGTTTTAACATTTTTAACATAATTACAAATGAAAAATTGAGTATTTTGGAATCTTTTATGTAATGTTCTTAATGGTATTAGAAATTGGATTGTAGTGTAGGTTTTGAAAATAAAGAAGAGGTGTCTATAATTTTACTATAACAGAAAGGAGATCATTGTATTTTATTCTAATATATTTGATGAATTTTTTTTTTAAACAAAGTCTCAGTTGCAAATTTTTATTTGACTGTTGCAAATTATGGGATGAGTGGTAAGATGAAAATGCAGGTAAAGCACGTAAAGTGGGTGTAAGCGAAAATTCGTGGGATTTATGGGAGAACAGTGATTTGATTTAGGAATTAGAAAATTAAAGGTAGTGAATTTTTTTTTAAAAAACCAACTAAAGGCAGTAAATTTGACAGAAATAAAGAAAGTATCGAATTGAGTGACTTTAGATTTTGGAGTGATAATGATAAATATAGAAAGACCATGAAGGAGCGCCGTTAGATGCCCACTTGTTTTGGGTTGCTCCCTTGTCAACAGGATTACAGGAAGGCTTACTCTATCATGTCGAAATGTTATGCAATTTTGGGATAATAATTAATTGAGAGGAGAAGGCTTATTACGTCGATTCACTGCCCCTACTACACGCTAACTCTAAGAAAATTATGCATTGATTTTTTCCCCTGAAAAGAGAATATTGGGACAAATAATTCAAATTACACTATTTTCCTTTAAAAAAATTGATACATGAGAAATGTTTGAATCATTCATATCTAGTTATACTCCATCACCAAGATTTTATTGTCGGACGACGAAATTTTATTATTGACATAAAATATAAAATTTTGAGTATCTATTATATGCTAAATTATTAAAAAAAGGCCACCTTTATATTTATTTAGAATAATTTAAATTTATAATTTTTAATATAAAATAGTCAAAATTAAATTGAAATTCCCTAACCTTAACTTGTGTAACAAGTTAGTATTGAAAATATTTTAGTTATTATTTTTAGTTTTGAACAAAAATTGCATATAGTTTTATATTCATGGTAATAAGCCATTAGACTCAAAATTAAACTTGAATTAATATTTTTACTAGTTATATCTTTTTGGCATGATTTCACTTGCTTTCTAATCCTAATTCCGAATATTGTTGGGAAAACAAAATCATAATTAGTCCCATCATTGACTCCATGATCTGACCGCCTTCTCAACGCGTACAGTGTGCTATTGTCAGATGCAACTTATTACTTCCTCCATTAAAAAATATAAAGCATTTTTAATTGAACTCACCTCTTAATAAAATAGTTACCAACTTCCAAACTAACCCTATTTTTTCATATTTATCCCTATTAAACACCCTACAATGCAAGCGATTCTAAGAGAAAGGGAGACGTTTCTAACCTGTTACTTATCGGGTAAGTCTCGTACTATATTAACCTCTAATTCTACCTTATTTTTTCTTAGTTTTAACTATTAAGAAATTGAATTCGAAAGTTTTAAGGAAATAATTTCTTACCCTATAGTAATAGAAAGGTCATCTAGGACTAAACTAAAATTTTATGACTAGTTTGAGTCAGAACGATAAAGTTTTGAAGCTATAAGCACAATTAACCTAGTCTAGAGAGAGAGTAGTGAGAGAAAATTTGATGGTGAGGGAGTTAAAGCTTGTATTGAGTGGTAATCGGTTATAGTACACGTAAACAAATGCGAATAGAGGAAATGATAGTAATTAGGTGCCTAATTGTTGTAATTGCTACTTTTAAACAATAGAATAATTGACTATGGGTGCCTAAATTGTATAGATTCTTGCATACGACGAGTTAGATAGCTAAAGAAACTCAAATAGGGTTGTGAAATAGGGGTAACCCTTTCTATTGAATAGAAGAGTTGAAGTAACCATATAGTTTTTTATGTTTATTAACTCATATAACTGTGCATAAGTAAATGTATTAATGTTCTAGTGAAGTTTTTATGCATGAAATCATATTGTGAATAATTTTAGCATGAACTTGATTTGTAAAATAGAACTTCAATGATTTTTGGTTTGGGTTGATCTCTGTGTATGTGTGTAGTGGTGGAATTGTGGAAAGAAAATATTGAAAAGTGTGTAAAAACATGATCATAGAGGGTGGGAGTTCACCCAGGGTATGTATGGATATGTGTATGTAGAGATGGGAGTGAACAAATTCATATAGTTGGGTTGGCACTAAGTGACATCCGATGTAGCATATTATGGGCTAGTACCATTAGTAATCTGGTATAGCATTATATTAGGACTATTATATGGGACATTCAGGTAGTCTTACAACTCCCTAATGCCCGTTAGGGTGTGGTTAGGAATCAACAACGCCTCTATCACAACTATGTGACATGAGAGAAATCATAACCCATAAGTAGGATAGATCACCTTTGGTCGTATGTTAAGTGTGCTCGGGTCAATAAGTGATTGATCTAATAGAGCCTAAGGTTTCATGTCGGGGAGCTTTGGAGGATTGATAGATAGATGGTCATGCTGTTGTTCTGATTGTGTGAAAAGATTTATGATAAAAAGAAAAGTTATGTTATTTTGACTATATAAACTATTAAAATGGTTTTTGGTTACTCTCATATGGTTATTTGTGATAGTGACATTTATAAGCTATATTGGTTATTGAGATTTTG